GGAGGAGGAGGAGGAGGAGGAGGAGGAGGATGACCATGGGGTCCTTGGTGCCCTCTGAGCTTGGTGGTTTTCTTGCAGACGCTTCATTACCCAATTAGATAACATCATCAGTGCTAGTAAGGAGTGCTGTTTGCTGTCAGTTTATATTCTGGTGTCTTGCCTGTCTGTGTGGGTGGGTGGATGGGTGCAGTCTTAGGGAATTCTCCACCCACCCAGACAAGCAAGACATCAGAATATAAACTGACAGCAAACAGCACTCCTTACTAGCACTGATGATGTTACCTAGTTGGGTAATGAAACGTCTGCAAGAAAACCACCAAGCTCAGAGAGCAACACCAGCCTGACTGCCATTTGCCCCTTTACTCTTAGGAGCAGGTTAAAATCAAGCAGACGGGGCAAAATTTGAGGTTTCTTTCCCATATTGAATTGACTCAAACATATAGCCCACATAACTCAAATTTCTGGGCCTGGTCTAAAATTTAAACTGGCAGCACTTTTGACGGGACGTAGATTTTCCCCTTCCTCCCTCCCTCTCCTGTGTCCCACAGCGTGGAAGGGAGACCACACAGAGAAGCCCGACTTACCTCCAGTGTAGAGGAAAGAGCTGGAGAGCCCTCCGAAGTAAATCAGGGCCAGGTGTTCCAACTTGAGGGTGGAGAAGCAATAGAGGAAGGCGGCCGAGACGCAACCCAAAGTGTACAGGAAGACCCCAAATCGGACCACATCCTGAGGCTCCAAGATCTGATCCACCAGAGTCCGGTCGTCGCTCTTCTTGTGATCGATGCCCTTGGAAAAGTCATAGTAGGTGTTCACGAGGTTGCCGGCTCCGTGGACGGCCAGGACAGTGACGGCGCTGCCCACCAGAAGCCCCAGGTCGAGGGTACCCTGGGAGCGGTAAGCCAGGGCGCTCCCCAGGGCCACTGGGGTGAGGGAGGCGCTGAAGCTCCAGGGCCGGAGAGCCAGGACATATGAGGCACATTTATGGGGCCAGCTGTTGGACGGGCCTCCTTCTTCGGTTGCCTCGCTGTTCTGTAGGCTTTCCGTCCCTATGTTGATCTTCTCCATCTCCTCTTCCACTTCCATGGCTGAGCACCCTCCTCTAAGGACAGGGGCTGACAGCTGACCTGAGGGAGGAAAGAAAGAAAGTGTGTGCAATTGCCAATTTTTTTAAATGGTTTTCATTCCTCCTTCTCCCCCCCAGCCCCGGAAGATGCTTTAGGGAAGAAAGGAGACACTCTATTGATGACTGTGTATTTGGACCAGGAAAAGTTGGGTGAACAGGGCAAGAAGGAAAAAGGGAATGAGACTCTCTCCAGGTGAAGACGTGCTTTTCAAAGACTAGGAACTGAACTGAAAGAGCTAAGGGGGAAAAAAAAGCCAAGAAAGCAAGTGGAAAAATTAAGACCATTAAATGATAAAAATGTATTCTATGTTCGGTTCAGTTTCTATGGCTGCCCCTCTCAGTCAATGACTGAGGAACAGAGATAGCTTAATAAATACCTAATTTATCTCAATAATTGCTGTAATATGTGTGAAACTGCGAATCCACAAGGCAACTGATAGTAGGCCCTTGGTTGCTAATTGCAAGTGATTTAATTAAATGAGTTTGTTAAATACCTTTGGCGAGGGAGGGAGGGAAAGAGAGAGGGAGGGGGAGAGAGAGAGAGGGAGAGGGAGAGAGGGAGAAAGAGAGAGAGAG